GTATTCTTCCCCGCCTTCAGGGCGGGGAAGAATAAGTTTAAAAATTTGTAAATTTTCTCACACGCTTAATGCCCACCCAACTATCCCCGCATCACAGTTACACCAGCATCTACGCTCTAGATCGAGAATGAGGGTGCTGGATATGTCAGGTGATCAGGTCGCTGGGGTCGTGTCGCACAGTATTTTAGTGGTGCGTGAACCATGATCACAGTGGTGATTTGGTGATGTATGGGATGTGTTTTGGTGAGTGGTGTTTTTGGAAGCTGGAAACTTTGTTCTAGGACGTTTCCACACCAAGATCGAAGAATAAGAAGAAATGCATAGTGTGAGATAGGATAAGTCTATAAATATACAATTTATTAGAAAATTTACAATTCATAATTATCAAAACTTTCAATCACACCAGTCATGTAAGCGATCTCAAAATACTATATAATGAGTGAGCAAATTAGTATAATAGTTTCACACAACTTTTAGCAATATTCCAGCAATATCTCTGTGGGGACGCCAGAAATGTTCTTTTCACACAGTACCCATGTGGGGAATAGAACCTGGGTCTTCAGAGAACACTTTACCCACTAGGCTACCCTATGACCCCAAAAACAAAAGAAAGTAACATTAGGATTTCATACAACAATTATTTTCGCCAAATATCAAATCAATATACAACTGATTGAATTACTGATTAGAGGAGCAAATACATTTCAAAGTAGCAGCTGAATCAGGCTTAATTTGAATCTTTCTTGCTTTAGTTGCAATGGGAGCCACATTGGAAATAATTATCTCACTTATTATTGATATTTACTATATACCATTAATTGGTATCCCAAAAGAGATACTGATAAAAAAAGTCCAACTGAAAACAACCACCTGAACCATCACCTTAAAACTATGTATATTACATTTAAGGGACCAGTCATGTACTGGTATGTTCTTATACATTTTTTACACGACCCTCCCTGAAAAGAAAAAAAGTGCGAAGCACTTTATATTTTGGTTTAAACATATTTTTATTCATTGAAATGAGTTGGGATTGGTGAACAAGCTTTACAGCTTATGTTAACACCGCTCCTATACAACATATATTACATACTGAAATGAAGGATGTGACGTCATCGATATAGACATTATTATGTTTGTACATATTACATCAAATGCAAATACAAAGTGAACATAAATAGAAAGTTACAGCTTGTGAGTGTCTAACAAGTCGTTTGTAACAAAAGTAATAGTCAATTATGAGGTTATTGTCCGGTTAATTTAATTATTAGTTTCTGAAGAGCTGTTCATAGGAGGCTTGTTCCAGGATCTCCTATCAGTACCGAGGGACTGATGGCTAAAGATTTTTACGCCTCTTGTCACGTGGACTACATCAACCACACACGCTTCACCATTGGCAAGTGTTGCTAGGGTTACCCACTTCGGCACAGGACCAGCAGACGTCGATAACAACTACGCCCAATTCAACAATTCCTGAACCCTTTCATCAGGCGTCAGGATTCACTCAAGGTCATCACTCTACCGGTCCATCTAAGGCCCAACCTCAATTTGTGGACGGTGGAATCGAATGTCTTGGGAGGAGTCTCTTTATCCGGGTTATCTTCCAATCTACACCTATTCGTAGACGCCTCCCTTCAGGGATGGGGTGCTCACCTGCAGGGCCAGACCGCCTGAGGGCTACGGCCCTGCATCGATCATCGAAATTGGCACATAAACAACCTGTGGATGGAAGCATTAATTCTGGCAAAATCTCTCATTGGCAGAATCAGCTACAGTCCGCAGTTCACACAGAAGCATTTCAGTTACTGCTTCAGAAGTTCGGGCAACCAAACATTGACCTGTTTGCTAAAACCAGCAACTTATGACGTGTGTCTCCCCGTTGCCGGATCCGCAGGCTTGGGCGGTGGATGCATTCAGCATCCCCTGGGATGGGCTAGAAGTCCACGCTTTTCCGCCGTCTGTTCTACTTCCCAAGGTGATACAAGCAACCAAGGCGACAAGGATTCTTGCTCTGACTTTGGTCGCGCCCTGGTGGTCGGTGAGAGGGTGGTTCGTCGAGCTCAGAAGTTTAGCAACAAACGATCCACTACCCCTCCCACAGTGGTCCAACCTACTCATCCACCCTCACAGCTAATTGCCTCACCCAATGCCAGAAGATTTCGTCTGCTTTCTTGGTTCGTCTTAAAAAGGCGTTAACTGCGAAGGGCTATTCGGCACAGGCAGCTAAAGCTTTAGTTTTAGCTCATCTTCCCTCAACCAGAGGATTATACGATGACAAGTGGGGATTGTTTGAGACTTTTTGGAGGGCAAAAAAAACCAAGATCCCACGACTGCGTCACCACAATTCCTAGCCGAATACCTCCTACATTTACGTACCAAGAAACACTTGATGGTAGCACCACTACAGTGTATTCGGTAGCATTTAAGTCAGTGTTGGCAGTTCCGGAAAATCGCATAATGACCAAGGTTCCGGACTACAGACCCTACTACGCTCATTCAGTCTTGAGGATCAGAAGGCCAAGCTTGGGACTTGAACTGGTACTTCGAGGTTTACAAAGACCCACCTTCGAGCCCTTCTTTGCATCCTCATTTTGTGACCTCACCAAGAAAACAATCTTTCTCTTGACATTAGCCACGGCGGCACGGGTGAGCGAGCCACATGCAATCGACATCACCCGGGTCAAGTTTGAGCATGGTACGCACGGATCGGTTCATCTCGGATTGTGCTGGGATTTTATAGCAAAACATCAATGACCAGGCCAACCCGATCGTTCCTTCACCATACCACCTATACCAAATATTGTAGGAGTCGAAGATGAGGGTGAACTTCTCCTGTGCCCGGAGACTCGGCCAGTGGAATATAATTGCTTTTCTACCAGGCGAATTTTGGCTTGATAACATAGTAGGTAAAGAATTAGCTGTTTTTCTAGCTTTTCTTAATTACTAAATATGTATAGGGGTCTACTAATTCCTACGTTCCTTCTGTAAGAAGATTGAACGACCATGCAGTAGTGGCGTTTTTTTCTGAGCTTTTTCCGCCTCATGGATTATTGACAAAAGTGTGTCATTGTTTTGGGGTGTGAATTATTGAGGTGTTGGACTTTCTGAAGGTTTCCCGCCTCCAAACCGTCGGATACAGATGCATTAAGGAGTAATGCAGGATAAGTTAAAAAAATTGTAAAATCTAAATATTTTTTACATTTTATATACTTATCCTGCATTACTACGTTTAAGGACCCACCCGCCGCAGACTTGCCTCCCCACTTTGGCTTCAGAAACCTCAAAATTATGTTTTTTTAAGCTCGGGTGACCGTCAGTGATGTGAGGAAGGTGACACTATCATCAAAGTCACATGACAGCGGCGATGGTCCGTACAAAAAGCAGGAGTGGGATTTCGAAACAAATTAATTTCTTCACCCAAAACCATTGCCGTACTCTGTCTTTTTGTTGTCGTAAGGTAAGCAGTGAACTCATTATGGAGTAATGCAGGATGAGTATACAAATGTAAAACAAAATATTTAGATTTTATTAATTTCGTCTTCCATATGCTTACTGTACTTGTCATAACGGACATGGTCTTAAGCAACCCTACATATCTTAAAAATGTTATTCTTGCATTGGTCATATTCTTGGTTGACTTTGAAAGTCAAGGTCACCACTTGAATGCAGCATGTACTGTTTATAACCTCTAGAACGTGAGAGGAACACCCGGCAAGGGCAACAGGTCAATAAGCCATGTTGACGTTCTGACCGTTTTTGGTCACCATAGTTCTAAAAGGCAATCATCATAGAATATACAGATATGGACATCCTAGAGCATTGCATATCTGGTGAACGTTTTCATGGGAAGAATACGCAAACTATCATGCTTGAGTCAATCTGTGTTGATGTGAATATATCATGAAGTGTAATCAATCTATCAGCTTCAATCAGTTCAGGAGTCGTCGATGTTTTTAGAAATTATCACATATTTTTTTCAATATAAGCTGTGTATTTAGGTTTATCGCTGTCTCAACGAGTCCCTCACCTGTTGCTGAACCTTTGAACTCTTTTTTCAATATGTTTATTCCCTGTGATTTTGGTGACGTCAACGTTATTGATATCAGTGTTTTTTATGAAACTGTCTGCATTGTATTTGTGATAGATCAGCATGAAATTGGTTCCGGTGTGTTTTTTGGGGTACATGTCGGTCAATACTTGCATTGGATTTCTCAAGCACAGTGCATTATATCACATAACCAGAACGTATTCACATCTGAGTGTAACCACTAATTTCACTCACGGCTTCTCAAGTAGGAATAGTTAGCTAGTTGTGTGTCCTTATACCCAGCAAAATGTCCTGTTTAACACCTAATAGAGTTATTACTTATAACGAGAAACAGAAACTCATTGTTGTTTGTCTTAGATTTGAAAAGGATTATGTTAACCCTTTGATGGAAGTCAGTTTGATATTTGAAATATGATGTTCATGATGTTGGTTTCAAGTTAACATACATCATTTTATATCTATGTTAACCCTTTGATGGACCTCTTCAGCAATGGCAATGGTTCAGTATATTTATTTCCCGTGATGCATTTGGTGACGTAAACATTATTGTTATCAGTGTTTGTGACAAAACTGTTTCCATTGTATTTGAAATAGATCAGTGTGGCTTTGAGGTACATTATCAGAAACGTGTCGGATAGTACTTGCATTGGATTGCCCAAGCACAGTTTATTATATCACGGAATCACAATATATTCACATCAGAATGTTACTACTAATTTCACAGCTTCTTAAGTTGGAATAGATAGTAATGTTTTCTTAAACTAAACAAAATGATGTCCTATTTAACACCTACGAGAGTTATTACTTATAACGAGAAACTGAAACTCATTGTTGTTTGTCTTAGATTTGAAAAGGATTATGTTAACCCTTTGATGGAAGTCAGTTTGATATTTGAAATATGATGTTCATGATGTTGGTTTCAAGTTAACATACATCATTTTATATCTTGTAGATTTATTAGAGATCAACTTTAAACGAGTCAAAGATGTCTTTGTCAAAACTGCCATCTACAGGAGAGTGAAGGATCAGCTGGAGAAGTATGGCCACGTGACAATAAGTGGTGCTTCTGGTGAAGGGAAAACATCCACAGCTTTAATGATAGGAGCAAATCTCAGAAAACAGGGATATGAACTGGTATTTGTTGATGATGTGGACACGTTCAAGCTTGACAACTGTGAACTGCTTGGAAAGAAAGTATGTCTGATACTGGATGATATATTTGGAACAGTTGGCTTATCAACTGATGTGCCACATCTAAGGTCCATTTTACAAAATCTGAAACATTATTTAGAAGATATCCAATTTAACAAGGAAGAACAACAGGAAACACGCCCATCCACGAAATCAATGATTCAAGTTATCTTCACCACCAAATCGTATAACCTAGAATGTGGAATCGCAAAGCTGGAAGGCCAAGAATTCTATTTCTTCACAGGACCGTCAGTTCTTGATTTGACAAAAATGAAATCATGTCATTACAGTCATGAGGAGAGAAAGAGAATACTTCAGAAACATCGACAATACCATAATGTCAAATTGGAGCTCGATATCGATACAATATGTGACATAACAGAGTCTTTGTTTGGGTTCCCTTTAACATGTAAACTATTTTGTGAATTTCTAAGTTTTCAAAAAGAACCTGCACAGTTCTTCAGAGTACCTTTGTTTTATCTACGGAGAGAACTTAACATGATTATGGAACGTAGGGATGACCTGTCGGCTGCGCTAATCCTGATGTTGCTGTGTGAAGATAATCTGAACTTGAGCCAGGTGGAAATGGAATCTGAAAATAGTATTTTAGAAGCTAACTTGCAGGCTGTCAAAAGTGTGGTGACAATTACTTCACGTACTGCAGTCGCCAAAGCTGCCAGATACTACAGAGGTACGTTTTTCACGGAGGGAGATATCCTTGGATTTTCACATCCTACAATCTACGACGCCTGCGCGTGTGCCTTATTTTATATGAATCCATCGTTTGTCCTGAAACACTGCAGTATAAGATTCCTCTACGAGCGTGTGCAGGCCAAGCAAGTCGAGTCCACCGCAATAGATGATCACCTGCACATCATCTACGTATCAGATGTTTACAATGACGCAATTGCCTCCAGACTGGCCGAGGCTATTGGCAAAGGCATCTATAGTATGTCTATTACACATCCTATCTTGAAGAAAGAACAAATAGTTGACAAAGTGTTCCAGAAGCTTAAACTGAGAAAATCAAATCCATTGAAACGTTGGCTAAATACAGAAGACAATAAACGTCTCCGAGTGTTACATGCAAAGGAAGAAGAGAAGCACTTACTGTACTGGGCAGTTCATGCTCACAGTCTGTACTTGGTTGAGAGAATCATTGAAGTTGGATGCCGTTTTTCAGACGAAGAGATCATCGAGGCCTTTGAGGCCTGTGCTTTCTGTGGGAACGAATCGGTGCTGTTGTTTTTATCTTCTAACTATAGGAGGTTGTTGCATCAAAGTGTGCTCAACAAAGCTCTAGTGATTGCCACAGAACATAATTATAAGGGAGTTGTATTAGCCTTATTTAAACTTGGAGCTGATCTCACACTGACAAATGACTCCAATTATAATGTACTTCATCTGGCATGTCGGGTTGGAAATAAGTTCATTGTAAAGCTCATACAGCCATTATTTGACATTAATTGTCGGGGACAACGTGGTTTGACAGGAGTGATGATAGCAGCTCTCTATGGAAAGAAGGATACTTTTGAAATGCTTGTGTCAGCGGGAGTTGATCTCACACTGACAAATGACAACAATGACAATGTACTTCATCTGGCATGTCAAAGTGGAAATAGGTTCATTGTAGAAAGTCTACTGCCATTATTTGACATTAATTGTCGGGGACAAGATGGTTTGACAGGAGTAATGAGAGCAGCTTTCTGTGGAAAGCAGGATACTTTTGAAATACTTGTGTCAGCGGGAGCTGATCTCACACTGACAAATGACTACAATGACAATGTACTTCATCTGGCATGTCAAAGTCGAAATAGGTTCATTGTAGAACGTCTACTGCCATTATTTGACATTAATTGTCGGGGACGTGAGGGTTGGACAGGAGTAATGAGAGCAGCTCTCTGTGGAAAGAAGGATACTTTTGAAATGCTTGTGTCAAAGGGAGCTGATCTCACACTGACAGATGACTACAATAACAATGTACTTCATCTGGCATGTCACGGTGGAAATAGCTTCATTGTAGATCGTCTACTGCCATTATTTGACATTAATTGTCGGGGACAAAATGGTTGGACAGGAGTAATGATAGCAGCTTTCTGTGGAAAGAAGGATACTTTTGAAATACTTGTGTCAGCAGGAGCTGATCTCACACTGACAAGTGACGACAATGACAATGTACTTCATCTGGCATGTCAAGGTGGAAATAGGTTCATTGTAGATCGTCTACTGCCATTATTTGACATTAATTGTCGGGGACAAAATGGTTTTACAGGAGTAATGAGAGCAGCTTTCTGTGGAAAGAAGAATATTTTTGAAATACTTGTGTCAAAGGGAGCTGATCTCACACTGACAAATGACTACAATGACAATGTACTTCATCTGGGATGTCAGGGTGGAAATAGGTTCATTGTAGAACATCTACTGCCATTATTTGACATTAATTGTCGGGGACAAGATGGTTTGACAGGAGTAATGAGAGCAGCTCTCTGTGAAAAGAAGGATACTTTTGAAATGCTTGTGTCAAAGGGAGCTGATCTCACACTGACAAGTGACTACAAGAACAATGTACTTCATCTGGCATGTCAAGGTGGAAATAGGTTCATTGTAGAACGTCTACTGCCATCATTTGACATTAATTGTCGGGGACAAGATGGTTGGACAGGAGTAATGATGGCAGCTCTCTGTGGAAAGAAGGATAATTTTGAAATACTTGTGTCAGCGGGAGCTGATCTCACACTGACAGATGACTACAATGACAATGTACTTCATCTGGGATGTCACGGTGGAAATAGGTTCATTGTAGATCGTCTACTGCCATTATTTGACATTAATTGTCGGGGACGTGAGGGTTGGACAGGAGTAATGAGAGCAGCTCTCTGTGAAAAGAAGGATACTTTTGAAATGCTTGTGTCAAAGGGAGCTGATCTCACACTGACAGATGACTACAATAACAATGTACTTCATCTGGCATGTCATGGTGGAAATAGCTTCATTGTAGATCGTCTACTGCCATTATTTGACATTAATTGTCGGGGACGTGAGGGTTGGACAGGAGTAATGAGAGCAGCTCTCTGTGGAAAGAAGGATACTTTTGAAATGCTTGTGTCAAAGGGAGCTGATGTCACACTGACAGATGACTACAATAACAATGTACTTCATCTGGCATGTCAGGGTGGAAGTAGCTTCATTGTAGATCGTCTACTGCCATTATTTGACATTAATTGTCGGGGACAAGATGGTTTGACAGGAGTAATGAGAGCAGCTCTCTGTGGAAAGAAGGATACTTTTGAAATACTTGTGTCAAAGGGAGCTGATCTCACACTGACAAATGACAACAATGACAATGTACTTCATCTGGCATGTCAAGGTGGAAATAGGTTCATTGTAGAACGCCTTCTGCCGTTATTTGACATTAACTGTCGGGGACAAGATGGTTGGACAGGAGCAATGAGAGCAGCTTTCTGTGGAAAGAAGAATATTTTTGAAATACTTGTGTCAGCAGGAGCTGATCTCACACTGACAAGTGACGACAATGACAATGCACTTCATCTGGCATGTCAAGGTGGAAATAGGTTCATTGTAGATCGCCTACTGCCGTTATTTGACATTAATTGTCGGGGACAACGTGGTTTGACAGGAGTAATGAGAGCAGCTCTCTGTGAAAAGAAGGATACTTTTGAAATGCTTGTGTCAAAGGGAGCTGATCTCACACTGACAAATGACTACAATAACAATGTACTTCATCTGGGATGTCAGGGTGGAAATAGGTTCATTGTAGAACATCTACTGCCATTTTTTGAGATTAATTGTCGGGGACGTGAGGGGTTGACAGGAGTAATGATAGCAGCTTCCTATGGAAAGAAGGATACTTTTGAAATGCTTGTGTCAAAGGGAGCTGGTCTCACACTGACAAGTGACTACAAATACAATGTACTTCATCTGGCATGTCACGGTGGAAATAGGTTCATTGTAGAACATCTCCTGCCATTATTTGACATTAATTGTCGGGGACAACATGGTTTTACAGGAGTAATGATAGCAGCTCTCTATGGAAAAAAGGATACTTTTGAAATGTTTGCGTCAGCGGGAGCTGATCTCACACTGACAAATGACAACAATGACAATGTACTTCATCTGGCATGTCAAGGTGGAAATAGGTTCATTGTAGAACGTCTACTGCCATTATTTGACATTAATTGTCGGGGACATGAGGGTTCGACAGGAGTAATGATGGCAGCTCTCTATGGAAAGAAGGATACTTTTGAAATGCTTGTGTCAGCGGGAGCTGATCTCACACTGACAAATGACTACAATAACAATGTACTTCATCTGGCATGTCAAGGTGGAAATAGGTTGATTGTAGAACGTCTACTGCCGTTATTTGACATTAATTGTCGCGGAGAATACGGTTGTACACCATTCATGATGGCAGCTTTCTCTGGAAAGAATGATGTTTGGTTACTTCTTCTGAGAAGTGGGGGAAACCGTTTATTAGTTGGTGATAATAATCACACGGTACTACACACAGCGAGTAGAGGTGGGAATATGACAATTGTTGAAGATGTCATTGATCTCTTTGACATTAACACAAGAGGATTACATGGACGCACCCCACTCATGGAGGCAGCTAGAGGAGGCCACATTGATGTCGTTGAATTCCTTGTGTCCCGCAACGCTGACGTCAAAATGGTGGATAATTGGGGAAATAGTCTACTACATGCGGGTTGTTCAGGTGGCCATCTTAGTATGGTGAAACATGTGTGTCCATGGTTTAATATTGACGACAGAGACCTACATGGGTGGACACCTGCAATGGTAGCAGCTGTGTTTGGTGAATTTTCACTGTTTGACTACCTGAAACGAAAAGGTGCAGATCTGACACTGGTTGATAAAACGGGAGATGGTGTGTTCACTCTCGCCCTTCAGGGAGGATGTCGCCAAATTATAGAACAATTATCTCCAGCTGGACATGTGAAGACGCCCACTCCATGGAATGAACTGATGAGATCCATAGTGACGGGTTGGATGTACCGTCTGAAGATTTACGATGAAAACAGCCCTGACCCGGTTCAGACAGACCAGTTTGGAGACAGTTTACTACATCTGGCCTGTCGGGGAGGCAACAGACAGTGTGTGGAGTATCTGCTCCCATCCTATGACATCAACGTCCGAGGTCGGTATAACTGGACGCCGGTCATGATGGCGGCAGTGTGTGGCCATGATGATGTCTTCCAGTTGCTGGTGTCTCACAACCCAGATCTCTCTCTGGTCTCAGACACAGGTGAAGATATCCTCACCCTGGCTCAGCGAGGGAGAAGCAATGTCATTGTCAAATACCTAAGGGATCATTCAGGACAGGGACATTTTCGTGAATCAGAAAGATGAAATATCCTTTAAAAAAGTATGGGCTTTCTTAACATTTGAAGAATGTTAATGAAAGATCATTCACGATATTTAGAAGCTGATGAGCTATATGCTTACATATACCGTGACAATGTGAAAACGCATGATTAGCATTAACACGGAATCAGAAAATATGTGTGATAATTTGCTCTAGTCCATCTCCAAACACATAAATGGGATTCGAACCCGTACAACGACATTGTTGTGTTTGATTATCTCATGCCTGAATGCCCAGAACAACTAAATTCGTTTTTTGTCCATCGTAGAAAAATATTTCTCTCACTTACTTAAACCATTGAGTTATGACGATCACTTTGATGTAAGTGATCACCTACAGGGCACTTGACTGAGGAATTCTTGTACAGCACTTCAGTTTGTACATTGTACATACACTCACGTTTACTCAGCAATATACAGAAATGTCATATACTGGTTATTATTCTGCTTTAGATACAAATGTGGCGATGTAAAGTTACTCACTGTTATTACGTTATAGTCAGAAATATGACGTGCATACAGTCATTGTTATTAAATTATTGTCAGAAATGTGACGTTGTTCATACATTCATTGCTATTGAGTTATTGTCAGAAATGTGACGTTGAACATACATTCATTGCTATTGAGTTATTGTCAGAAATGTGACGTTGTACATTCATTCATTGCTATTGAGTTATTGTCAGAAATGTGACGTTGTACATACATTCATTGCTTTTGGGTAATTGTCAGAAATGTGACGTTGTACATACATTCATTGCTTTTGGGTAATTGTCAGAAATGTGTTATGTAGTCATTGTGAGAAAGATGACGCTGTGCCTGCGGCACCCATTGTTAATAAGTCATAGTTAGAAATATGACATTGTACATACCTTCATTGGTATTTAGTTATAGTCAGAAATATGACGTTGTTCATACAAATATTGTTATTTAGTCATTGTCAGAAATATGACACTGTAAATAAATTCATTGTTATTCAGTCATTGTCAGAAATGTGACCTTGTACATACATTCATTGTTATTCAGTAATTGTCAGAAATGTGACGTTGTAAATACAAATATTGTTATGTAGTCATTGTCAGAAATATTCCGTTGTGCCTGCTGCACTCATTGTTAATAGGTCAAAGTTAGAAATGTGACGTTGTACATACATTCATTGACATTCAGTCATTGGCTGAAATGTGACGTTGTACGTTCATTCATTATTATTCAAGTATTGTCAGAAATATGATGCTGTGCCTGCTGCTCTCATTGTTATTGAGCCATTGTCAGAAATATGACGTTGAACATAGATTCATTGGTATTCAGGTGTAGCCAGAAATATGATGTTGTAAAAACAATTTTATTGTTATGTAGTCATTATCAGAAATATGACGCTGTACCTGCTGCACTCATTGTTAATAAGTTATAGTCAGAAATGTGACCTTGTACATACATTCATTGTTATTCAGTAATTGTGGTAATGTGACGTTGTTCATACAAACATTGTTATTTAGTTATTGTCAGAAATATGACACTGTAAATACATTCATTGTTATTCAGTCATTGGCTGAAATGTGACTTTGTACATTCATTCATTATTATTCAAGTATTGTCAGAAATATGATGCTGTGTCTGCTGCAATTATTGTTATTGAATCATTGTCAGAAATATGACGTTGAACATTGATTCATCGGTATTCAGGTGTAGCCAGAAATATGACGTTGTAAAAACAATTTTATTGTTATTTAGTCATTGTCAGAAATGTAACGCTGTGCCTGCTGCACTCATTGCTAATCAGTTACAGTCAGAAATATGAGGTTTTAAATACATTCATTGTTTTTCAGTTACACTTAGAAATGTGACGTTGTACATACATATTTATTGCTCTTTAGTCATTGTCAGAAATGAGACGCTGTGCCTGCTGCACTCATTGTTATTCAGTTACAGTTCGACATATGACGTAAATACACTCATTGTTATTCAGTTATAGTCAGAAATATGACGTACATACATTCATTGCTATTCAGTTATAGTCACACGTGTACGTTGTACATACAACATTGTTATTCAGTCATTGTCTGAAATGTGACTTTGTACATACATTTATTGTTATTGTGTTATAGTCAGAAATAAGACGTTGTACATACATTCATTGTTATTCTGTTAAAGTCAGAAATGTGACGTTGTACATACATTCATGTTATTCAGTCATTGTCGGATATATGACTTTGTACATACATTCATTGTTATTCAGTGACAGTCGGAAATATGACGTTGTACATACAACATTGTTATCCAGTCATTGTCTGAAATGTGACTTTGTACATACATTTATTGTTACTTAGTCATTGTCTGAAATGTGACGTTGTACATACAACATTGTTATTCAGTCATTGTCTGAAATGTGACTTTGTACATACATTTATTGTTACTTAGTCATTGTCAGAAATATGACGTTGTACATACAACATTGTTATTCAGTCATTGTCTGAAATGTGACTTTGTACATACATTTATTGTTATTCAGTTATAGTAAGAAATATGACGTTGTACATACAACATTGTTATTCAGTCATTGTCTGAAATGTGACTTTGTACATACATTTATTGTTATTCAGTTATAGTCAGAAATATGACGTTGTACATACAACATTGTTATTCAGTCATTGTCTGAAATGTGACTTTGTCAATACATTCATTGTTATTCAGTTATAGACAGAAATATGACGTTGTACATACAACATTGTTATTCAGTCATTGTCTGAAATGTGACTTTGTACGTATACATTGTTATTCAGTTATAGTCACAAGTGTGACGTTGTACATATATTCATTGTTATTCATTTCTAGTCAGAAATGTGTTTTTGTACATAGAATTCAGAATTAGTATACGTACAGTACCACATTTATGTACATGTATATAGTTTAATCATGTTAATATGTGGACTACTTTCATCCATTTCGGTATATTGAAATATTTAATGTTACGTGAAGTGTGTCATGGAGTTTAGTTGTCGTCATATACAATGTAGCTTGGAGGCCCATTTATGAGAATCATTTTCATTTAAGATGATGAAGAACCAAACAAGTTCTATTTATGTCTAAACATTCTGAGACAAACTCATCAGTATTCAGAACGTAACCGTTTATCTTAAAAGTATTGTCATGGGGTGTGCAGTAAACACAGATGTTGTATTTTGTATTCTTCTTTGAACAATTATTTGAGTATTTCTTTGCCCCTACCTGAATGTAGTCCTGTTTGTTTAATGATGAGATCACATTTAATGACTGGACAGTCTTTGTATTTTTGCTGTAAATACAAGATTTAGTGTTTATTGAATATGGTTTTGTTTTACAGAAAATAACTCAACGCATGTAATAGATAATGTTCTTAATGTCATGTTAGATGAAGTTGATCATGATGTTATCAATAGCTTTGGGGAATATTGATTATTGCTATGCTTGTATCCAATTAAAAAAGTAATTATATTTCCTTTTTAATTGATCCTTTAAACGGTTATCCCTTTTGAAAATAATCTGTGTATTTAGTCATTGCAAAAATATGTTTCTTCAGACTTATAGATGTACATACGATTCCCTCCTTAGACCTGTGAAGATCCGCGGTAGAATAGGTCTTCAGCAACCCATGCTTGCCGTAGAAGGCGTATGCTTGTTGTAAGAGGCAACTAGGGTGGTCAGGTGGTTGTTGTTCAGTTATAGTCAGAAATATGACGTAGATACACTGACTTGGTTGATGCATGTCGATTATTTACAGACCGCCGTCATATAGCTGGAATATTGCTGAGTGCGGCGTTAAACAAACAAACAAACCTCCATCCTTAAACTTTTATATGCTTAATAACAACAACAAATGCAAGTAACATTGCGTTGCTTATTCAATAAATATATATTTCAAACAATGCACCTCTGCTTATTGACTTGATTTTACATAATTTTGTAGTTCACTGGCTGTATATTATGTAGTTTTAGCATACCTTCAATAAATATGATTGTCTCTTAATGTGTTGTTCAACATCTTGTGTGTTTCTATGTAACACGGCATGGTGTATCTGCATAATAAGGCGATCGTTAAATACGAAGCATTGTAACGTATCTATTTATACTAGGATATATTGAAATCAGTTCTTACTATGCAGTGTGTCGTATGTACATGGAATGCCATGCAGTGTGGCACCAGGACAGTCATTACAGAAAGACAAATACATGGGTACATTTGACCATTTCATAAAATACCAACATCTTATGAAATAGCAAACAGTTATAAGAACCGGTTTTAAGTTCGAATATATACTAGCCACAAAGAGATTAATAACTACATATGTACACATATGAGTAGTTGGTGGCGGCACTCTAGGACCAGGGGGAGCTACCTCTGGCAGTACGATGATGTCGCGTCCGGTTCCGGTGGCGCGCGCGCCTCCAAGATGGCGTCACGTCCGGTTCCGGGAGGCGTGTTCACCTCCAAGAGGGCGCCACATCCGGGTCCGGGAGGAGGCCATAAGAAGCGCACGTAAAATCCCCCCCTTTCATTTCTTTCTTTTTTTTAAAAAAAAGAAAGAAGTGGTGTTGGTGGTGGTAGAGGAGGGAGGAGGAGGAGGAGGGAGGGGGAGGAGGAAGGCGGAGAGAAGGGAGGAGGGGGAGGAGGAGGGAGGGGGCAGAGGAGGGCGGAGGGAAGGGGAGGGAGGGAAGGGAGGAGGGGGAGGAGGGGGAGGAGGAAGAGGAGGAGGAGGGAGCAGGGAGGGAGGAGGGGGGATGAGACAGAGGAGGGAGGAGGGCGGAGGGAAGGAAGGGGGGGGGGAGGAGGGCGGAGGGAAGGGAGGGGGAGGGAGGAGGAGGAGGACGGAGGGAAGGGAGTCTTTGTTTTTGGTTTGCTTTGGTGGGTGTTGGTGGTGAAGAGGGTAATCAAAGCAAGGATGAAAGCGTTCTTTCGGGGGAGGCGGGTGGCCCTGAACAGTGCCGTTGGATCGTGAGAGACTAGCTCCGGATCCTCACCCACATAGGTGCTGTGCTGCAAAGGCATGGATGGCCTCCCACCTGTCTCCTGACAGGACACTTACTGGTATGGCGATTGCATGTGGAGATACTAGATCACTGAGACGAGCTTATAATACACAGTCGACGACCCAGGAACTTTGTTGCTAGGTTGACGTCACATCGGCGAAGGATCTTCAAACATACGTTTCTAAATATGACGATGACATTGTCACTCGCTCATCCATGCCGATGCCGATCCATACCGAGGAGTTGGCACTCGTGTATGTTTACATGCGTACTGTCACGCGTGTCTCCATGCAAACGTGATGTACTTCGTGTCTCCATGCAAAACGTGGTGCCACGCGTGACTACAAACAGACGTTACTAGAAGTATAGATCGATACACATGCGTGACGTTGTCACTCACTCGTTCATCCACATCGAGGAGTTGGCACACAGAAGTTGTATAGCCAGTCTTACGGAGTTGTACAATCAGTCTTAAGGACTGTACAGTCAATCTTACAGTGGTGTACACTTAGTCTTACAGGGTTGTACACTTACTCTTAAAGTAGTGTACAATCACTCTTACAGAGTTGTACAGCCATTCTTACGGGGTTGTACAATCAGTTTTAAGGACTGTACAGTCAATCTTACAGTGGTGTACACTTAGTCTTACAGGGTTGTACACTTACTCTTAAAGTAGTGTACAATCACTCTTACAGAGTTGTACAGCCATTCTTACGGGGTTGTACAATCAGTTTTAAGGACTGTACAGTCAATCTTACAGTGGTGTACACTTAGTCTTACAGGGTTGTACACTTACTCTTACAGAAGTGTACAATCACTCTTACAAAGTTGTACACTTAGTCTTACAGTTGTGTACAATCACTCTTACAAAGTTGTACACTTAGTCTTACAGTAGTGTACAATCACTCTTACAGAGTTGTACAGCCATTCTTACGGGGTTGTACAATCAGTATTAAGGACTGTACAGTCAATCTTACAGTGGTGTACACTTAGTCTTACAGGGTTGTACACTTACTCTTACAGGACACAATCAGTCTTAAGGACTGTACAATCATTCTTAAGTCAGTCTTACAGAGTTTTACAGTCTGTCTTACAGGGTTGTACAGTCAATCTTAGGAAGTTGTACAGTCAGTCTTACACTGGTGTACAACCAATCTTACAGTGGTGTGCACTCACTCTTACAGGGTTGTACAGTCAGTCTTACAAGGTTGTACACTTAGTCTTACAAAGGTGTACAGTCACTCTTACGGGCAGTGTATAGTCAGTCTTAAGGGGTGTACAGTCACCTTTACGGGAATGTACAGTCAGTCTTACAGGGTTGTACAGTCAGTCTTACATGGATGTACAGTCAGTCTTATATGGGTGTACAGTCAGTCTTACACTGGTGTACAGCCAGTCTTACAGGGTTGTACAGTCAGTCTTACAGGGTTGTACACTTAGTCTTACAGTGGTGTACAGTCACTCTTACGGGGAGTGTATAGTCAGTCTTAAGGGGTGTACAGTCACCTTTACGGGGATGTACAGTCAGTCTTACAGGGTTGTACAGTCAGTCTTACATGGATGTACAGTCAGCCTTATATGGGTGTACAGTCAGTCTCAAGGGTTGTACAGTCAGTTGATGTAAGTTAATTCAACCGTAGAAGGTTATCGACAGTATTACCTGAGCGTACTGTCAGTCAGTTGATCAATCAGTATCATAATTATGTTTAAATCAAAATGGATGTACAGTCAGCCTAACATGGGTGTACAGTCAGTCCCACAATGATGTACAGTCAGTCGTATATGGGTGTACAGTCAGCCTTACAGGGATGTACAGACAGTCTTATATGGGTGTACAGTCAGCCTTACAGGGATGTACAGTCAGTCGTATATGGGTGTACAGTCAGTCTTAAGGACTGTTCAGTCAGAGTTTTACAGTCTGTCTTACAGGGGTGTACACTCTTACCGATGTTCTGATTGGTGGCATTGGGCACGAGTTTGGGCACGAATATGATCGAAGCTGCCCATATCCTGAAGCGCAATCTTACATGGATGTACAGTAAGCCTTTTATGGGTGTACAGTCAGTCTCAAGGGTTGTACAGTCAGTTGATGTAAGTTAATTCAATCGTAGAAGGTTACCGACAGTATTACCTGACTGTACTGTCAGTCGTACATCAGTGATCAATCAGTTTTATAATTATGTTTAAATCAATATGGATGTACAGTCAGCCTTACATGGGTGTACAGTCAGTATTACATGGATGTACAGCCAGCCTTACAGGGATGTACAGTCAGTCTTATATGGGTGTACAGTCAGTCTTAAGGGCTGTACAGTCAGTCTTAAGGGCTGTACAGTCAGTCTTAAGGGGTGTGCAGTCAGTCTTAAGGACTGTAAGTCAGTCTTACAGAGTTTTACAGTCTTACCGACGTTCTGATTGGTCGAATGAAAGGTCGTTCTGACGTGGCCGTAACTCGGATGTCCTCAGAACTTTGCCAACCAGTAGCGAAAACTAAGATCTGATTTAATGAGATAGGGCACGAGTTGGGCACGAATGTGATCGAAGTAACCATATCCTTAGGCACATTCTAGTTGGTTCATGGAAGTCATCGAGAGGGCCGCCCTCATTCGACATTGCCATACGTGTTTCCTTACTGATAATATAACAGTAAGGAAGTACGTACAGAAACAGTAAGGAAGTACGTATGGCAATGTCGAATGAGGGCGGCCCTCTCGATGACTTCCATAAAACAATTAGAGGACGGACTATACACCCCTTGTAAAACTGACTGTACACCCTGTAAGACTGAGTGCACAACCCTGTAAGACTGATTGGGCACCCGTGTAAGATAGACTGTAAAACTCCTCTGACTGTACAGTCTTTAATAATGATTGTACAGCCCCGTAAAACTAACAGTACAACTCAGTAAGAGTGTACACCCATGTAAGACTCAGTGTATAATCCTGTATGACTGACTGTATATGACTGTAAGACTCAACCTCCACCACCACCTCCACCACCTCCACCACCTCAACCACCACCGCTGCTGCCGTGTGTCAGCCAAACCACCTAGGACCACCACTACCACCACCACCACCACCATCATCTCCACCACCACCATTACCACCACCGCTGCTACCATGTGTCAGCCACACCACCGCCACCGCCACCACCACCTCCACAGCCACTACGACCACCACTACCGATGCTGCCGTGTGTCACTCACACCACCATCACCAACACCACCTCCACCACCGCCGCTGCTGCGGTGTGTCAGTCACCTGCACCTTCGAGCTTTCCTCCCACATTAAGCTGACACGCCGTGATATAACTGGAACTCTGTAAAAAACGTTAAACACAACTCACTCACTTACTTACTTACACCATGCACACTGAGTATCACCAAATTTTCTAAAAATCAGAGACGAAGGAAGAGAAGTATCATTAGTTCAAAACAATAAGCAATATTCCAGGTGTTTTGCAAAGGCTTGTAATAAAGTCAAGTCAGGGATTGACAAACCAGTGGTATATATCAAGCACAATAAACATTGGGGGTGCATGTGGCCTACATTGTAGTCTAAAGTACAATACCTGATTATGACACTAGACGTTCGCGTAAGGAGTAAACATGTTCAGTTTACACGTTGTATTGGGAGCGGTCGGCTAGTGGTTAAAGCGTTCACTCATCACCCCGAAGACACGGGTTCGATTCCCGACATGGGTACAATGTGTGAAGCCCATTTCTGGTGTCCCCCGATTGATATTGCTGGAATCTTGCTAAAAGCGGGGTAAACCCACACTCACTCATTGTATTGCAAGATGAATGTGCTCCTGAAGTACAACACTGTCACAAAAGTATGTCCCTTAAACGAAATATATCTTTACATACATACTTGTGAGGACCTTGCCCTTGGAAGCTATTATTAAATATCTCCCATTGTGAAATTCAAATGAAACTGGATGAGATACAACTATACTTATCGCTCTACTTATTGAAAATGACGACTGTAATAAATCGAA